CCTTGTACCAACACAGTGTTTCCCGCAGCCATTTACAGCGACGAACTGAGGCATCATCATGTATAAAAGTGCCATGACTGGCAGATTGCAGCCGAGCCACAAAGTGCTGAGCGGCCGCCCTCGGCCATCCATCTCCAAGCACAGCAGACGCCGCAACGAGCAGCCTGCTGTGGGCAGCCACACTCAACAGCCGGCGCCTTTACGCTCTCAGTTTCTACGTGTTGCAGAAGACGAAGATTTCCAGGATTACCAAGAGCAACACCAAGATCCGCAAGAACAGCAGGATGTAGCAGTGGCTGCACCGGCGACTCCGCCATTTCCACCTCCGCCTCATTCTGGTCCAGATTCATCGGCTGAGATTATTGAGTTACTAACACTGTTTCACAATTCGTTGCTTGAATCGAATGCCAAGCTCGAACGCTTGATACAGCAGGCCACAACGGTGTTGACTACTCAACACGAAGCCACCACTGCTATTATGGCATCGTGCAAACAGCAACTTGATATTCTCGAGAGCCTTATGAGGCAAAACACACCAGACTGGTCCTGAATGTGCTGTTGAATCCGCTGGTATAAAAAGAGCCAGGTAGTGCACATATCTTGCATTTGAACACATGTTGCCTGCGGATATGCACCATAACTTTGCCTTCTGAAGTTTTGTGCCTCAGAGTGACACCTTTGGAATCCCGACACAGAGCCATGAGCGAAGCATCTTTTCCGACAAACACAGCGACTACAGCTTCACCGCCCATCGATGAGGCACGACGGGAAGCTCTCTCTGAGGCCATCATGGAGATTTTGACACAGCAGCGGGACTATGATTCTGAAACTGGAAGTGAACCTTCCACATTCAGTGACGGGGCGCTACGCGACCAATTAGCCGAGTTTATTCTTCAAACAACTCGGCAGATCACAGAGCTAAAGCAACGAGTTGAACGACTCGAAGCTTCGCAGCAATAGGTGATCAACCATGTTCATACCCGTCATCGGGCACATTGCAGCGGACGCTGAAAACAATGATAGTCGTTTTCGCCAATTGTCACAGTCAGTGCACTCACTTCATATAGGTGTTATGCAGCGATTGATGCATTATTTCCCGCAGCATTTTGAAAAAACAACCAGTTGTGTTAGCATCATGGAACAACGCACCAGATCGCGATCTCCGACGGCATCACAATGGAGATGGCATTGGGCCACTAACGGCTCTTCATGGTGGCGAGAGTACTTTATCGCATCTCAAGAGTGGATACGAAAGCATTCGGAGCAGCCTGATCAGCGTCCGACATCAACGCCTCCTACCCAAAAGGAGACAGTATCTACTACATCAACTCCTACATCCAACAAACGAAAGAGATCAAGAACTCCGTGAGCAGCATTGCTGAGTTGACAATTAGATGCACATTTGCTGCCCCCGGCAGCCAACAATCACACAGCAAAGCTGTGCTACGAACTCCATCATATCTGATGAGATTCAACATTAAGAGCATCATGTCGAAAGTTCATGCAGGTCTGCGCGGTCAACTGATTGATGTCTCTGTGTGCCTTTCTCTCTCTTCTGAAGATCTACGTTTGCACATGCATCAATGCAGTTGTGACTCCGCAGCCATTTCTCTAACCTACAGTTGCTGAAACACATTAGGACAGTTTTGCACACAAATGGACGAGGATGACGACAGCAGCATATGGGGATCCGAAGAGATTGATGACTTCTTGAGGAAGGACGACACCACCAGATCCTCCCATGCAGTCAGCCACACACACACAAGCAAAAGACAAAGCACACAACGAGGACAAAAAAGAAGAAAGACAACAAAGACAAAAAGGACAAAACAGTCAAGAAAACAAAGAAAACACGCAACATCTCACCACCATCCCAATCCACAACACAGCAACGACGCCAACATCCACATACTACAAGACGAAAGAGGACACGCTCTTCGCATTCAACATCATCAGCGTCACCTACGGCAACGTCACACATGGCTGAGGACCCACACCGGTCTCCATCTCGAGATCCTTGGTCTTCTGACTCGATTGCACCTTACGATATTGTGCATCCTACTATTCAGCACAAGCGGTCCAAAACCGCTTGTGCAAAAATGCTGGTACGTGCAGGATTCAGGTGTCGCTGCCATTTCAAGATCATGAGTGACTGTCCCAACAGACTCGCTGTTGGACGCTAATTCTCAGGACGGATTAGGGCTGCAAGATCCGCTAAGCGTGACAAAAAAGCCTGCGCATGCGAGTGTCAGGACGACACCGCTTTGTTGTTTTGCCAGAGCACACATCATGTCCATGTTGATTTGCATTCCTTGTTCAAGCTTTTGTCGGTCGGTAGCAGCAAAAAAAAGACAAAGCGAAAGGCTGTCGGCCTTCCATGGTACTCCATGGCAGGACAATGTTTTCGGATGACTGTTGAAATTCCACCCGACCGCATCACCAGAGACAAGCACATGTTCTTACACGTGGTGCTTTGTCTGGGCGACAACGTTCTCCAAGCACGCAAGATCTTCTCCTACCGCATCAAGGAGATCACCGGCAGAACTCCTGAAATCCCAGCTTTCTTCTTCGAACAAAACCGACGACGACTACATGATTGGGATTCAGTCACCACATTAGCCACGTTGATGCCGGTGCTTTTTGTTAGAACCTGTTCGGATCAGGAAATACGACAATCACCCGATCGCTATTGACAGCGAGAAAAGTGCGCCATTCACTCCTATTGCCGTGCATCAGACCTTTCACTCTACTTGAAGCATGTACGCCCCATTTGGGGCTGTGTGTGTGTGAACCTCCCTAGCACATGGGAGCAGAGGGTCACTCCTACACTGTTTGCAATTTTTGCTTTTCAACATAATCAGACATTGGACATTTACCAAATCAACTGTTGCAGGGGGATCAGGCTTCCAGTGACTGACCTGATCCAACGAAGCTAGGTCACTGGAAGGGAAGTGATTGAGGACGCTCAGTCATGTACCTGCACAATTTTCGGCAGCCCCCTGTGGTGCCAAGATTAGTTTGAGGACAGGCCCCCTGTGGTGTCCAGATTAGACAAACAATTTGTACGGTTGCAGCAATCTGACAAGCTTTTGCAACAACAACAACATGCCTCTCTTTTTCCTCTTGCACTCGTACTCTTGGCCGAATCCATCAGTGTGTGTGTGTGTGTGTGTGTCTGTGTGTGTGTCTGTGTGTGTGTGTGTCTGTGTGTGTGTGTCCTGGAGGGCCCTAAATTGTTTATTTAACGCCTTGAGTTGTTTGTTGACGCCCAAGTTGTTAGTTGTGACAAGGAAACGTCTTGAGATGTTTCTTGCTAGCTTGTTGTACATATTGATCGTTTCACTGGCTTGCTTGGTTGGTCGCTTGTGCGTTTTGACCGTCTCACTGGCTTGGTCGGTTGGTCGGTTGGTCGGTTGGGTGTCCTTGTGGCGTGGCTTGTGTGTGTTGCTCGCTTGCTCGGTTGGTCGCTTAAACCGTCTCAGTAGCTTGGTCGCTTGGTCGGTCGGTCGTTTGGGTGCACATTGGTCGCTTAGACCGTCTCACTAGCTTGGTCGCTTGGTCGGTTGAGTGTCTTGGTGGCGTGGCTTGTGTGTTGCTCGCTTGCTCGGTTGGTCGCTTGTGCATTTTGAATCATATTGACAATCTCACCTCCATGTTGCCCGAGCACCGAAAGCCCAAGCACCAAGAGCCGAAGCCTGGAGATTCAGTGAGTGTTTGCAAGTGACTGCGCAAGCTGAAGCCCGGAAGCACCGAGAGCCTCCCAAGCACCGAAAGCCCGAGCACCGAGAGCCCAAGCACCAAGAGCCGAAGCCTGGAGATTCAGTGAGTGTTTGCAAGTGACTGCGGAAGCTGAAGCCCGGAAGCACCGAGAGCCTCCCAAGCACCGAAAGCCCGAGCACCGAGAGCCCAAGCACCAAGAGCCGAAGCCCTTTATGCATGGCCGCAGATCGTGAGCCTTCGCTGATTATTGTGTGCACTGTACCCTTGGTGTGCGATTTTCTGGAGCAATACCTTACAACCTCGGAGATTCGCAGGCTAGAGGGGGCCGCCCGCTCGGTGATCAATCGGGAGCCTCCATTGGTTAGGGTGTGAGCGCAGTCGAGAGTGGAGCAGCTGAGGCCACTCAAGCTGCAACGGACGCGGCTGAGATGACTTTCAATCCGCATCCCAAGAAGCCCGACAACATGACTGAAGCTGAGTGGGACCAGTTCAAGAAGAGAGCGATGGTGCAGCTGAAGACCATGCTGGAGCTGGGCATCGACACATATGTCACAGACAGCGGACAAATCTGGTCGCAGCAGGAGCTGAAAGAGCTCTTAGAAATCCACGATCAGAAGTGATTGCGGGCAGGGTCCGGGCGGAAAATATGTCTCAGAATACAGAACGCATTGCTGATTGCTGCTTGTTAGGGAGATTTGTTCTCTTGGTTGCGGCCGTGGGCACTCTGCCGTGTAAGTGCTCGAGCAAGGCCCTGGAATTCCAGGGCCCGGGGCTTCTTTTGCTTCTGGAATCCAGTGCGCCGAGAGCACCGGGAGGGGGAGGACACACTTTTCTTGGTCGATCTCGGTTGTCAACTCAGCCTGCCGCAGGTACCAGAAGCCTGATGTACAAATTTGAGCTCCTTGTTTCTTGCGAGGACCGAGCTGCATGAGTCAGAGTCCTTGAAAACGTAATCGGACTTTTCCACAACTCAGAGCCTGGTACGTAGCGGAGTTCTGCAATTCACAATGTGCTCCATGAAATTGGGCTCATGCCAAAATCACGTGTTAACACATGTAAACTGTTCAAGCAACGTGTGTACAAAGGGCAGGGATGTAATGTTTCATCACCCCGCCTGAGGTTCGCTAGTTGGCTACAGTACACTACGAAGCTCACTGAAACTCAAGTGAAACTCACTCCTCATCATGCCCTGTGCACCGCAAAGCCTGGCGCACGTAACACGGGCTCTCAGTTTTCACATGCCTGGCCACCGTAAAGGGAATTGGTGACCGCAAATGGCATCATGTCTGCGTGGTAGCATCACGCATTGCACACTGCCTTCCGTGAGGCATTTCATAGAACTCAAGTTGTATCATCGCGTTCTCGTCCCGCAATGAACGATTCTCGCGCTTCAGCTCGTGAAGCGCCCTCTTATCGTCCTTCTGCTCATCCCATAGAGCCGAACACAAAGCTCCAAGTTCTCGGACCTCAATGCGCTCTCGATTGAGCGCACACCGAGTGCGCACGAGCAAAATGCTCAGTGCCACAAGTATGCACAGCAGCCCGCAAAGAAGCATAAAAGAAATCATATCATGGCTGCTTGACGTTGTCGTCGTTGTCGTAGTCGTAGTGGTAGATTCAATCTCCACATCACGAAAGAAACCGGCCGAAATTGACCCAAGGCTCCAAGCAATTGTCGCCATCATAACACAAGCGGCATACATTGCCCCACGACGGTACCACGGCCCGCCGGGTGCTGCAATATACAGCCATCCTTCATCACCACCATTGGCACCATGCTCTGCCGTGCTCTCCATTGCATACACTGCCATGTACATCGAAACAAGCACTGCAAGGAAGAAGCATGCACTCATGTTGACACTTGTCACTGCACTCGCTTCCGCAGGAATCGGCATCATAAGCAAAAGCATTGCCACTCGCTTAACCCACGTGTTCGACATGTCATTGCCTGCCACTGTACGAACACGCTTGACCTGAGCTCGGATCGTCGCCGCAGTGCACGTGTGCTCCCACTCATTCTCCCCGATTGGCCTTGAGTGGCAGTCCACAAAGTCATGAAGAAACAGTAGAGTTCGCAATCGGCTTGGGGAAAGTGGCTTGGTGTGAAGGTCTCCTAAATTGAAGTGGGTCGAGATGTATTTCATCACCAGCCGCTTCTGCTGAACAATGTCCTGCAACCACAATAGCCGGCCCTCGAAATGCTTGCTGGCTTTTGTAACTCCCTGACGCAAACAGAAGGCCTTGCACGATTGGTTGTCAACATACAGGATCCGGTCGCAGGGGCTCCGGCTCATAAACTCGATCACAGCCTTCATGAACAGCCCCTGGCACGCGCTTCCCACAGCACTGTAGTACTCGCTTTCCATCGAACTCAAACTGATGCACTTCTGAGATCTACAGATGTAGTGGACATATTGTCCGTTCACACAGAAACTCGCTCCACCATATGATCGACGATCCTTCTTCGACCCTGACCAGTCGGCATCCGAAAACACCTCCAGTACATTACGCTCAGCGTCATCTGCACAACCAGAATCATACACATAACCGTTCAGTTTCCTTGTCCCAGGAGCGGCAAACTTCATCAGGATCCCATAATCACATGTGTTGATAAGGTACTGGATCAGCTTGATCAAACCAACCTTTGCATGCTCAGTCGGCCTCGCCATGTAGCTTGCAAGCATGCGCACAGCATAGCCCACATCGGGCCGGTCGCAAGATATGTATAAGGCTGTTCCCACTGCTTGTCGAAACTTGCTTGCATCGGTGTGGTTGAGCTCACGGGTGGTGTCCTTAGCACGAAGTTCACTCCAACATGGAACCCGTTGTCGGTTGTTTTGCGTGACATTCATGGTCTGCTTCATCTGCTCAATGTAGGAAGAGGGTTGCCGAATCACAATACCCTGTTCTGTAATCGTATGCTCACGCTTGAGGAAACTGAAAGAATGACCCACCTCATATGCAAGCTCATACGTGATCTGAAATCGCTGTTCAATCACTGGAAGAAAGCACTCGCGGGCCCACTGGAGCGGCAAAAGAAGTAAGGAATCATCAACATGGATCATGCCCGGACCCTTGTCTGCACAAACTCCATCAGATCCTGGCTTGCTGCTGACATGCACTACCGCAGGGCACTCCTTGCACTTTTCAATCACGAAGTGCTCTCCGAGATACTCGCAGAAGTGTGAGAACCACTGTTGTGATCCTTCACGTTGCCCCGGAACCATTCGCATGAACACGAGGTCTTGACCTTGCACTTTGGAAACCACTGGCGTCGGCTGGGGAACCTCAAGGTATGCATCTTTCACGTCGAGCGCCAAAATGGCATACTGCTCGGATGGCCGCGATTGCTTCCAATTCAGCCACTGCGCCGGGATGAGGCGCACAATGTCCGTGCTTGTAGCAGGGCTAAACAACCCTTCTTTGGACTCATCCAACCACCGAAACTCCCGAGCACACAGTCTGGATCGGCGGTACCATGAAGGAACCCCATTCCGCTTCTTGTGCCGCCACGTTCGAACAAACTTTGTAGTGAGGCTCTTCATCGAACCCAGATCATCATCACTCGTGGCATGCCTTAGCACAGATTTCTTCAGCAGTCTGCTGACCTCAACTTGATCAGCAAGGTTGTCAAGCTCGGCCAAAATGGCATCATCGAGCTCTGGCTCCCTTCCATTGTCGGGAAACCACAGTCTGTCATCATCTTCGGCCACTTCCCCTTCGGGATTGGCCTTCACCTCATTCATGAAACTGTCGTCCGTCTCGGACTCCATGGACCACAGCTTGGTCTGCACTTCCCAGCCGTCGGGCTGGTCCAAATCAAACTCGCCTTCATCGTTCACTTCATAGGACTGCTCACCAAAAGTCACAGCACGAATGCGCAGCTTCTTCAACGGTGGCAGTTCTGCTTCAGGCGTGCTAGGTGGATCGGGCCTCATTGCAGGATTGGGCCCCGGAGGCTCAGCTTCAACACCAGCCATGCTCTCATCTGGAATTGCTCGAGCACTCTCAGGAGGAGGCACATTGCGCCTCGGTGGCGCCATTGCTCCGGCCCCGCCCAACGGCGTAACCGGCATCCCCAGTGCCTCAACTGCAGGTGTTGGAGGCTCGCTCGCAGCCTCATCAGGGGACCTTGGCGGTGCACCATCCCGCACTGGATCCACAGCCGCTGGCCGTTGCTTCGGCATTGCCACAAACTTGGTGCCTATAACACCACTTCCATAATCCCAAGGGTAGCCCTTCAGCTCACGATAGAGCTGCACTTCAAGCTCCCAAGGTTGACCCACACGGCGGATGGATCGTGACAGTCGTATTCCGTCCTTGCCAGCAATGATGTACATGTCGTTGAGCGAGGATTTGCTCACCAGGATTCCAAGCATCCACCGCTTGTCGCCTTTCTGCTTAACATCAAGCTGGCAGTAAACCGGTTCGGCGAACGGCGCAATTCGCCCACTGTACTTAGCCCCACAGGCCCTTTCATAGGCTGTCATGTTGCCAATCACTCTGTATCTGTTGAGCAGCCACGCACTGTGCACAAAAGCCCAGGCAAACAGAACATGCGTTGTAGGCAGGGGAAGGCCGGTGCGGTGACGAGCCTGATCAAGCAAAGTGTTTGCAAGCTTCCGCACCGAGTCAATGGCCTTCTCACAAAAGCCTAGAGAACCTTTGGCACCTATGGCAGGATTCTGAACAAGCGTCTGCAACCCGAGCCGTTGCCGCGCTGTGACGATAGCTCGCTGCAGAGTCAGAGTGGAGGGCTCGTTGTCGCACTTCAGGGTCACGGTGGTGTGACCGAGGCTTTGGATGAACCTCATAAGCTCGATGCCTAGGTACCTTGTGTCGCCTTTGGACTCACATGGAATCGCTGCGATCATGCCAGTAGCGCTGTCATGTGCCACAAGGCACTTAAGTGCACGCTGGGAGTCCTCAGGAGCTGCATCGAGGTGGCAAATGCCGTCTGGCACACTGTACCCTGAAAATGAAAAATCAAATTGAATAATTGGGTTGTCGCGGGGGCCCTCCTTCAAGTACTCACTCCGATCGGGCATTGCTCGCATGCTGATGCAGTGTGGGCACCATGGCTTGAAAGGCACGCGGGTGCACTCATGAAGGAATCGTTCTGCCTCGGTGGGCGCGGCTGCGACTGGTTGAACCCTGGGTTGCCTCTCACCTGAGGACTGAGCATCGGCAGCAAGCTCCAACTCTAAGGCCAAACGCTGCTTCTCAAGATATCCCTTGACACGGCTGAAGAGGCGGGACTTGGAGCCAGCCGTACTAAGGTTCAGCTTGGCTGCCGCAGTTTTCAGAACAGCTAGGCTGGAGTCATGCGCAATGAGCACACCATCAAGGCTCAGCGGCTCGACATTGTCGGTTGGCTCTCCAGCTTCCAACTGGTCGGGCAGTGGCATTGGCGCTGGGCTCGGTTGTCCAGCTGCATCCTCTAGGCCTTGCATAGCCTCATCATCGGGCACCACACGATCATGCTCAACTGTCCCGACAGGCGCTTGCTCAGTCTCTGCTCGAAAATGATAAAAATCTGGCTCTGGCAGACCTTGTGGTTCGGTCATGCCTGCAGGGAGCTGCACACCTATCTCTGACACGGGCTCAACCTGCACGTGCAAAAATGAAATTACCTCAGCAACCTGACCTCCGGGCAAAACGGCTTCAACCTCTTTCAAGTCAGCCCACGGCACGCAGTGCTCAAGCAGAAACCAAGTCCCACTGCGGCAAATGAGGGTGCTCCTGAGAGGCCAGCCGATTGGCGCCATGAAACTCGGATCGACAAACCTACTTGTGCGACCTCTCCACACCAGGTGACCAGACGAACTGACTTGCCATCCGAAATCGAGAGACTCAAGCGTCTTAGCCTCAAAACGCACCTGGATGGACGCAACTTGCACCTGGCTTGGGCACACCTCTTGGACCTCACCTGTGACCTGAAACTGGGAATGACTGCATGCGGCATCACAGACCTATTGGCTGTCGGCATCACGGACCTGTTGGCTGTCGGCATCACGGACCTGTTGGCTGTCGGCATCACGAACCTGTTGGCTGTTGGCATCACGGACCTGTTGGCTGTTGGCATCACGAACCTGTTGGCTGTTGGCATCACGGACCTGGCTGTTGGCATCACGGACCTGGCTGTTGGCATCACGGACCTCGCTCTCGCTCACTTCGTCCTCAGAGTGGTTGTTGACCTCACCTGCACCTGGATTGTAGTACATCAAGTCTTGGCCCTCATGCTCCAACACGACGGATCTGAGCATTCACGGCCAATGAGTAGCCTTTGAACAGCAGGGGCACCTCGGCACCACTCCGTGGGTGGCGCAAGCACATAGGACCTGCGCCTGCATTGTCACCTTGACCTTGGCGAATAGGCCACCATCCCTTACGCATGAGTCGTCCAAGGCTTAACAGTGGTTGGGTGACCTTTGCCACAATGCAGCGTTCACGAATGACCACGGGCCGGGGCCCACCAAACAGCACAAACTCTATCAACCGTTCGGCCTGAATCTTCATCGCGCCCCCTTGGGCATCTTGAACCTGCAGCGGTCGTGCACGAGCGGCACGGCCACAAGACTGAAAAGTCTCAGGGATGCAAGAGATGTCGGCACCCGAGTCGATGATCACACACTGGCCTGCGTCAGTCACTGCTCGAACACACGCAGTAGCAGGACTCGGCGCCAAGTCAAGCACAGCATAGTCATCAGGAGGCAGGGTCCACTGGTCATCATCATCCTGGGAATCCATTGCATAACTCTGTGGCGCAGTCACAGTGATCATACAGACATTGGGCTCATAAGGAAACGGATCCTCCAGGTCTGACATGTCGAAAACAAGTGGCTCAGCCGCAACACGGCGAACGGTGGACTGTCCTGCTTTGCCTTGCTGGGCTTGAAGGGCACTCGCAGAAGATGGGGCAGTCGTGCTAGTGCCGGCATCGGACGCTGCAGAAGAGTTGGCCTGAACCTGCCGGGCACCTTTCTGATGGCCTTGCATGTAGGCCTTGAACTGAAAGCAGTCACGCTTGTAGTGCCCCGGCTTCTGGCACCAACTGCACACGGAGGGCCAATTGCCCTTTGCATTGCCACCTTTGTCCTTACCTCCCTTGCTCTTGCCCTTGTCGCCTTTGCCTGCATCGCCTTTGCTGCCTTTGTTGTGCTTGCCCTTGCCGTCTTTGCCTTTGTCGCCTTTGCCGCCTTTGGGCCTGCCCTTGCGGTCTTTGCCTTTATCACCTTTTGCATGCACACGGTCTATATCCATCGGCGCAACATCGCCGGTATCATGCAAGCCTTTCTTTCCATCACTCAGGCCGTAACTCGAAGCAACACTGGTTTGCCACTTCGTGTTAGCTCCATCCCAACGCAGCACAAGCTCACGCAAATCACTGTACGTGCTGTCTTCAGATATGACTACATTGGCATGCTGACGGAGCTGGCCTGTCAAGCAACTGAGGAGAGTGGCCATCTTGTTGTTCTCCGGGAGACCGCCTGGCTCGAGGCGCTCATACTCCTCAAAGGCGCTTTCAAGTCGCAGCAGCTGCTGGGCAAGTCCTTGTTGGGCCGCAAAAGACGGCCAGCTGTTGATCGTACGCAGCAAAGCTAAAACTCGATTGCGGGTCTTTGGCATAAGATCTTTGCTGAGCAGTCTCCATGCCTCAAACCCGTTCTGCTCCTGAACAGATCGCAACAGTCGCCTGCCGCGTTCATACAGTAGGCCATTCAACATGCCGTACAGCAGCCGAGACCGCCGCTTGGCACCATCATCAAGAGAACTCAAGATCACTGCTGTCTGCTGCCGGCCATACTCACGAAGCTCGCTGCTGAACTCTGGTTCCAAGCACGATAAATACTGTTCAAACGTCCAGCTCCACTGAGGCCATTGCGCAAACTCCTCATCTCTCGTAGTGGGCCGGAACGGATCCGGCTTCGGTAGCACCTTGGTCAGATCTCCAACACCCATAGGTCGAACACCTTGGGCCGTGCTTGCAAAAGCGGCGGCTTGAGCAGCCGCACTGGCAGCCTGTGTGGCCTCCGACATGCGTTGCATAAGAACTCTCAAGTCGGCAGCTGTCATAGCAATTTCACCTCCAGCATTGGTAGGGCTCGTTGGCTGAAAAGGGTTTGTAGGCGGTGGCTGCATGAAAGGCGCAGGACCCATTCCGTGCGCTGAGGCGGTGGCTCCAGGGGGGCCTGTAAGCTCCTCATCCGTCTCATCTCCAATATTCGCCATTGCTCTGTAAAGCAGGGCAATCAATCAATATCAATCACTTCCTTGCAAGTGTTCAAACACAGATTGGCACCAAATGTGCGTCGGGGCTCGGGCCCTTGCAACTCGATCGGCTGATCCGGAGGGGCCTGCAGTTCGGAGAACGCGGCCTCACTCGAAGCAGCACCTGTTGAAAAACCAAAAGCTTCCAAATCTCGCTCAAACAACTCGCGCTCCTCTGTCGCAAAAACTGTGTCGTGTATCAAGGCTTCAGGGATTGCTTCGTCACACACGTCGTCAACTGCAAAGAACCGGAAAACTTCTTTAAGGTGGCTGTCCTTTAAACACCGGTGGGCAAAGTCCCACACTTGCTGAGTAGTCTCCAGAGAAGCCAAGTTCGCCTCCAGCGAACGTTGGGCGGTACTCAGGATATTCTGCCACCCTTCAGCAGATCTGCCAGCGGGGCGTTCGCGCTGTAGCAGCTGCTCAAGATGCAGTTCAGTAACTCTGGCCTTGATAGCCTCCAGAGAGGCCAAAGAGGCAGCCGTGCTGCCGAGAGGAAGCGCGGGCGGATCGGGGCTGCAGGTGACTACACACCTAGGCCCTCAACACCAAAAGTCAAAAACGAAAAGTTCAAGCCCGATGGCCCCTGAACAGGACCCAAAGAAAGTTCACGTGTCTCGAAGCTGGGTCGGCCCAGCTCCGCTACCATGAAAACGTAATCGGACTTTTCCACAACTCAGAGCCTGGTACGTAGCGGAGTTCTGCAATTCACAATGTGCTCCATGAAATTGGGCTCATGCCAAAATCACGTGTTAACACATGTAAACTGTTCAAGCAACGTGTGTACAAAGGGCAGGGATGTAATGTTTCATCAGTCCTGCATGTCAGAGTCAAGCGATGCAGTGTGGCAGCCATGGCATGTGCATCATACGCAGCCTTGGGGGCTCATGGGGGCTCCACGCAGCATGCAATGCACTTGACAGCAGCAGCAGGCAGTGCAGCAGGTCATCATTTAGAGGCGATGCTTCCCATCGCCAATCGTCGCCTTCGCAATGTACCTCCTCCGGCAAGCGCTGCTGTGGTGCCGCAGACCAGCCCGGTGAGTATTCCGGAGCATCTTCGGGATGTCATCCCGCTGACGCCGCTGGGATGCAACATCAGAGGCTTTCTAAAACCCCAAGTCTCATGCAAAGCCGCCCAGGCCCCCGGGCCCACCGCCACCGCAGACCCCACCGCTGGATGTCGGTATGGGCCGGTGGGACTGGGATGGCAACGCCTGGGTTTTCCGCGCACTGCCGCATCGCGAAACCCCACCATCCCTGCGGCTGGCGCAGCTTGGCACGGTTTGGGGTTGTTGGCTTTTGTTCTTGGTTTTACCTTGCTTTATGGCTTCGAACTGGCTGCAGCTCAGGAAGCTGCTGCACGCGAGGGCCCAGGCGGTGCCGCTGTCGCAGACACCGGAAGCGTTGCTCCGCGCGCTTCTGGGCTAACTTTGCTGCTTCAGGGTTTCGGGGCTTTAGGTTTTTCTTCATGTTTGGGTGTTACTCAGGCGGGGATCCATGCAGCCGGTGACCCCGCAGCAGTTTTGGGAGTTGCTTGGCTGAGTAATTAGTTTCAAATTGAAATTTCTTTTAAACTTTAGCTCAGGCCGGGGCGGCGTGTGCCGGTGACACCCGAGGGTCTCCTGCTGCCGTTGCTTGGCTCAGGGTTTAAATTTATGGTGCTAGGGGAGGGCTGGGTGTTGAAATAACTCAGGATGACTCCTCCGGAGCAGCGGCTCTCGTTGCTACGTTTAGGGTTCAGGGGTTTAGGGTTAAGTTTAGGGGCCGTGTTCCGAGGAATGCCTTCACACTGGGGTTGGATCCGCGGCCGGGCCAGCTGCTTGGCTAACTTCACGCTTGGGTTCTGGGTCTTTGCTGGGTTTTGCGGTTTCGCTCAGGCTCACGAACATGCCGTACACCCCGCACCCGCTGCTTGGCTACCTTTATGTTTTGGGGCTTCGCTGGGTTTTGCGGTTTCGCTCATGCAGGTTGCCAATGGCCCAGCAGCAGCCCCGGGGGACGCTGCTTGGCTAATCTTCATTTTCTTTTGAAGCTTCGCTGGGTTTTGCGGTTTCGCTCAGGGCACGACTGGTGACCCCGCCATCAGGGAGGCTGCTTGGCTAACTTTAGATGCTGCGTCAGGGCTTTTGGGTTTTAGGTTTTCGCTCGCCTAGGCAGATGCCGATTTTGCGGGCCGGGCCGGAGGATGCAGCGGTGCGGCAGATCCTCGGTCGTTATTCAAATCCCCTAACCCGAAAAGTCCGAAATATGAACCCTATAAAACCCCAAACCCTAAACACAAAATTCAGGCGGCCGAAGAAGAAGATGCGCATTTGCGCCTGCTTTTCTGAGAGCAGCGACAGCGAGCCCGATGAAGCCGAGCCGACGGCATCAGACTTTGCTTTAGGGCCTCGGCTGGGTTGTGCTGAAGCCGGTTCAGACTGAAGCCGAGCCGACGGCATCTTCCTGGGGCACTGGCTGCCGAAAAAAGTACTCTCTGCATGCTGGGCTTTGAGTTGTCCTCGATCGTTGCGCTGTTCTGATTCTTGTGTGCTGCAGGACACACCGACGATCGAGCCTAGCTAGGCACGTCCGGGGCACACTCGACCCTCCGTTTGTGGTTTGCGGGCGATCCTTAATTGCTTGGGCTTGCTTGGGGTGATCACCTTGGGCTTGATATTGGTCATCTTCGTTTGCAATCGTCCGTTGGTCGCTTGTTCGGGCTGAGTCGGTTGCCTGGTTTGCTTGGTCATCTTGATTTGCAATTGTCGCTTGGTCGGGCTTGGTCGGGCTTGGTCGGTTGCTTGGCTTGCTTGGTCATCTTGACTTGTAATCCTCGGTTGGTCGGTTGGTCGGGATCTGTTTGGCTTGCTTGGTCATCTTGAGTTGCAATTGTCGGTTGGTCGGTTGGTCGGGATCTGCTTGGCTTGCTTGGTCATCTTGATTTGCAATCCTCGGTTGGTCGGTTGGTCGGGATCTGCTTGGCTTGCTTGGTCATCTTGATTTGCAATGCAAAAGATGGGCTCCAGCATCTTCGCATTCTTGGATCCCTGTCACGCCTCAGTGCCATGACTGGGTCCTTCAGGCTGTTGGTCTGCAACCCCGACAGGACCATTGGCATACACTGGTCGGAGGATTGGTCGATGGTGTACAAAGCCGGTTGGATCCGTGTCCGGGACACGTGGCGGTCGACACTCCCGATGATACTGGAGGAGGCACTTTGGGTCGACGTCGTATTGAAGAGACAAAGGCTGGATGCTGAAGCTGCGAATACCACTGCGAAGAAAAACAAAGCGGCCCCTGCGCAGGGTGCCGGACATGCTTTTGGTGGTCCGATAATGACCCGCGGACCGAATGTTTTCTGAATCTCTAGCTGGAGATGAAATTGGAAGTTTCCTCAAGGAAGCTTCTCCATGGCCTCCAAAGCGACGGCTGTTTAATGGCCTACTCCGAGCGGCTGCAACAAAATCGGCCAGAAACTCTGTTCTGCATCTCTGTTGTGCTCGGCCAGCCGAGCGATTGATGATTGTTGTGTGCCAGGCGAACGATCGCCATGGGCTTGAGCAGACAAAGGCGCTTACAAGCACAATCAGGCCTGGCTGTGCATGCTTTAGGGGTTTAGGAGTTTTAGGGTAGACCATATCCTGCGGTCCTGGGTTCCAGGACATAAACTTACAAAACCCTAAACCTCAAACCCTGAGCTCCACCTACCAGAGTAACCTGGACCCCATCGAAAGCCCGAGCACCGAGAGCCCAAGCACCAAGAGCCGAAGCCTGGAGATTCAGTGAGTGTTTGCAAGTGACTGCGGAAGCTGAAGCCCGGAAGCACCGAGAGCCTCCCAAGCACCGAAAGCCCAAGCACCGAGAGCCCAAGCACCAAGAGCCGAAGCACCAAACCCTAAACCCTAAACCCTAAACCTGAAACCCTGGCAAGGTTAGGCAGCAAGTAGCGCCGCCTGCCAGAGGAACCCTAGCACCGAGACCCCAAGCCCGGGCTGCTCAGCCACGCTGCTCAAGGAGATATCGAAACTATAGCATGAATGCATCCATGCTACCGTTGTGGCAGTGACACCGTTCTCCTTGTGTCCCCACTACCATTGCCTCTGTCGCTCTCGATAATCATGCCCAGACCAGTGGGATCTTGCGAGCGCCACCTCACCAAGGAAGAGCTGGAGCTCCTGCAACAAAACATTGTGCTGCCTCCGGACGAGTTGCTCGAGATCAAGAAGGATGCGACCTCGATCTTCGCAAGATGTTCCACGCCGAAGGAAGTGAGCTCGCACAAAAGGATTCTTGTGTTCGCGCCTTTGGCTCTGCTCGAGAGACATCACTGGGTTCTCGGGCCCATCGTGAAAATGGTCCCTGAAGGGCCGCTGTCCGGCGAATCGAGACAAGGCTGCAGATATGCTTTTTTGTTGCATCTGACATGTGGTTGTGTTATCTTCTGATTGTGTTCTATATAAGCCTGTACCACTCAGGCTGGAGCTTTTGATGTACGGCCTCCTCAAAGGGTGCACTACTGCTGAACTGCCAGCCGACAGCATTTTGCTCTTGGCACAGGATGTCAAGGTCATGCTGCAGACGCTTCGGAAGTATCGGCGGCAATGGTTGTGGTTGGCGAAGAAAACCAACGTGGATTGGCCGCCAGGGGCATCTAAGTATCCTCGTGTCTTCAGCATGGTCAAGGACATGACAGGCGATTTGGCCAAGCCAGACGGTGATGAAGATGAATGCAACGATAGCGAGGAAATCACTTCCGAAGCGCAGGAGCTGGCGGCAATGTGGGCAGTGCCAGACACAGATGGCGTTGAAGAACAAATCCTGAAAAAGAGAAAGACTGCTCTGGAAGAGCTCCAGCAGACTACAGTGCTGCTCCATGGGAGCAGTGATGAGGAGCAGCCGCCGGAGGCTGCTCGGTCATCGAGGGATCCTGCACCGATATCGGCCCCGCCACGGGGGCCGGGTGCCTCGCAGAATGCC